TTTTTTTTTTTTTTTTTTTGTCTCCCCATTTTGGCTGCCTATTTGGGTTTGTTTCTATGTATTAGGAAGGCCTACTAGGACTCTCAGTCTTTTTGGAAGGCCTCTGGTGCAGGCCAATGTCAGATGCTGTTTGCGACTGGCCTTGATACCCTGTTTGGAGCTATCAACAACCCACAGCTTGAGGTTCCCTCTGTTGGGGCTGGGTGTGTTTGGACAGGACCAAGATGCACACCAAAGTCTGCTTTTCTAAGGCCTGGGTCCAGAAGCAGATCAGGCAAAGACTCAAAGCACTCTAAGGTCTGCCTCTGCCTGCAGGCTGATTAATCCGATTCTCTTAATGAACCTCAGGCTGTAGAAACTCCACAGGGTAGAGTGAGAGGTTTTCTAGCAGGGTGGGGCAATTGCTCCCCCCTCAGACAAAAGCTTCTTGAAGGATAAGTGTCTGCCTGAGAAAGATGTCCTCTGCTGTATGGGGGAATGACTCAGCACAGGAATCCAGAGGGGTACCCTCTGAGCTCTATCTCCAGACCCCACAACTCTAGATTTTCACAAAGCTCCAGTCCACTCTGCACTCCTTCTGCTGGAGCTCAAGGTGAGTGGCTGCACACGAAACTTTGTGTGTTGGCTTTTTAAGAGGGTGCCTACGTTTTCAGCCATCTCTCCCTGACAGACAGAAACCCTGCTGCTTTTCACAGTCATATGTTATGTGGGCACCTTTCTCAGTTCTGGTGCTCTTGGCTGGGAAGCCCTGCCTGGGGTTTAGGCCCCAGAATCCTCAGTGGGAACCCCATACATCTGAAATATACCCCCGTACCTTCAGCTCCTGCCTGTGGGAACCCAGCCAGCCTTCTCATGCCTCTGCACTTCCTACCAGTTTCTATGCTGTCTCTACTTTTCCTCCTTGGTTATGAGGGTGCTCCCCAGCTTGTCTTCAGTTGAAGCTGATTATTCAGGATAGTTTTTCTGTATTTTAGTTGTAATTCCAGTTTTGTCTCGGGAGAGTGTCAGTGTAGCTTCCACTCAGCCCACCGCCATCTTTAATCCACAATTTCTTAAATTTAAAATCACTGGATCTCAGTTACTATGTTCCAAGACCCACAGGAGTCCAGCAATCCTATCACAAGCTCAGTAGGTCCTTTCTAACATGGTGTGATAAGGATTTAATCTGAACCTGGAGTTATTCTATTAATCCTTCAGAAACCAGTTGTTGCTGTTCTGCAACTGACCAGATGATGTCGCTGTAGAACAAAAAAATCCATGTCCTGAGCACACAGGAAACTGCCTACTGTATTTTTGAGAATCTCTGCACTATTACTATCCAGCTCTCCCTTTAAACACAAAATTACTATTTTTACAATGAAAGGTGAAGTGAAATGTTAGTAATGTACAGGAAAGAACTTCAAGTGTTTCACCCTTTAGATTGTTAAGATTCATAAATATTTGACTTACGATTTGTAGAATAGACTGTATGGGGGATTAGCAGCTAGCAACTGAGTAATGACAGATATAATCACAATCACAAGAACTGGAAGTAACTGAATAAATGCAGAATACGTAGTCTGAAAAAGAAAATATATTTGGTATAAGTGTTCTTCATCAATATAAAGCTTATAGAAAATAGGATTGTTTTCCCAAAGAAAATACAAATTACCAATGCACTGTACAAAGCCCAAAGCTTTTTTTGAGAAGGCTATACTTTGCAGAGAAGTATGAAACAACTCTGTTCTTTCTGCTGAGAAATTTGAAGGAGGACCACACACAACCTGATTGGCACCCAGTAATTCTCCTGCATTCCCCTTTTCTAAGACCAATGAAGCAGATGCCTCTGGGTGAGTCTTCCCAGACTGTGACTCTCATGGGGCCATGTTAGTATTATATAACTTTGTTGCCTTATTCACAGCTGAACAGACTGGGGGACGTCTAACCCTATCAGGGATAATCACATTCTCCCCCCTACGCCCCCCTCAGGAATTTGGGATTGAGATCCATCACCATTCACTGCTAGGCAGTCACTTGAAGAAAGGACACATACTCTTAGGCACTGGGAACTGGCTATTTGCAAGGGGAAGTAGGACAAGCCAGGCTGACTAGAGTGAACAAAGCAGATGAAAAGAGGTGGGAAAACTGGAGACAATCTGGCCCCAACTAGTCATGCAGAGCAGTTGTGAGGGTGCCTGACAGCACCCCAGTTCCTGGTCCTATCTGTCATGACGCATAGCTGCGCTTCTTGCCGTTGAGCATCATAAGACCCCCTAGATCCCTTACCTTAAACCCCCTTTCGTTCTGAATATTTTGAAGGAACTTATTTTCTGCATTCAAGAAAACCTTGATCAAGGTATCCTACAGGGAAAATGATTTCCTGGGACTAAAAGAATGGGTAGGTAAGGGGGTTACCATTCTGGCGTATTTGGGCCAGTTATCCAGCTTTCTTACCATTGCCTCTGCTTTTCTAAAGCACATTTCAGTAACATATTCTCAGGCTGAACTTCTAACACCTGATCATATACCATAAAGGCCTGCTCGGTATGAGCGTTGATGAGCAGCACTTCTCCTGTCCTCACTATGTACCTGAGGTTTATCTTCTTCCTCCTCCTTCCGTGTCTGCATCCTCTCATGTCGGTGCCGCCGGCGGTAATAGTGGGTATCATCTGTTACGTTTGAAAACATATGAATATTTCCTGGAAAAGAAACATAAACGCTTAGTATAGGATATGGCAAACACTCCTTCCTTGCCTTTTCTAAGGTCCTTTCTCCCAGTTACGTTTTCTGAGGGCAGAGTATTGTCCCATTTTACCCAGTAGAAAAATAAGACAGTAGGTAAGCCAAGCGAACCAGCTGGAGATTAGCTCTCCTGCCTTTATTTAGTCCATTGTAACTGGTGAGTGAGAGAGCCCCAAAAGGCTAGTAAAGAAGAGCATCTGGACCATGACATGCTTATGTCTGACATGCTTATGTTTGCTTCCTTGCTTGATATCAAATCTTTAATAGCAACTCAAAAAATTCATCTTACTTCCTGGGCATTTAATTATCTCAATTTCCAACTCTGTAGGGGTGCTTTTCTAACTTTTATCTTTATATAGCTATTTTGCAATAATAATAATAATAATAATAATAATAATAATAATAATAATAATAATGGCATTTTGTTAGTTATTTATAAAGCACTTAAAAATATCTAATCCTCACAGCAGCCCTGTGGGGGAGGCTTTATTAACCCCATTTTCCAGGTGAGAGACTAAGAATAAGAGAGACTAAGTGATTGGGCCAAAATCATACATAGTTGGAGGCTGGACACTTCCCTCAAATTCCAGTTCATCTGATTCCAAATTCTTGCTGTTTTCACCATACTATATCTCTCTACTCAGATCCTCAAACAGGAGCTTGCTAATATATAAATTTTTTCATGATAATTTTGGGATACTGACCTGTAGGAAATTGTCCTCCAAAGAAGACATTGAATAGCTCTTCTGGGGTGATGTCGGCTTCAAAGTCCCTGTAATAATTATAAGGTCTGGCTCGAGGGGCAGCGAAAGTCACTGGTTCATCTCCATATTCATCATAGCGGAGTCTCTTGTCAGGATTGCTGAGGACTGCAAAGGCATTTCCTATTGCTGCAACCAAAACAAAAAAGTGGCCTAGTACAGTCTTTGCTGTAGCCGAGGGTGGACACCGGAGCAGCAATGAAGAGCCCAGAGTTGATTGGTGCTGCATAGCTCAGGGGCCTAAGGGAGGTGCTTGGGCCTAGAAAGTTCACCAAAGTACTTGCCCTTGAAATTTTCCGTGATCTCATTTGAAAAGCCAGAAACAACACTGGACTCAAGATGAACTAAGAACTACTGCTTTTATTCATAAAAAATGTGTTCTTATTTCACTTGAGAGCAATAGTTTATGGTTGGAAATAGTTCATATATAAGTAGTTGTCTAACCTGAAGTCTAGAAACAATCTCCTGAATAAAATAATCAGTAAAATTCTTGTTTGGCTAAAGGCAAAATCCTTACTCATCACAATTGTATTCAGCTTTCTTTAGAAAATGGTCTTTAGAAATTAAGAAATGTATCTCTGATTTCTCAATGAGAAATCAAAGACTGAATAGATTATATATGCTTATCATCACCTCTCCTTCCTATTTTTCCAATTTCACTTAAACATATAATCCATATCTCCAATTAAAGAACACCCCCAAACAAATCTTTTAAGACATCTCCGCCCCCTAACTCTGAGTCAGTCAACTCTATCAAAACACAGTCAGAAAGAATATTTCTTTATGATTCTTTTACCGAGGGAATTGTTAAATGTTTACAGCAATAAAACAGCTAAGCAGAAAACAACAAAAAACCTAAATAGAGTTGCTTAAACATTCACATTCCTTGAAATCTCGCAGATTTATCAAAGAAATGGTGTTAGTGTGTGAGATACCTTACATGAAGGTGTAAAGAGAATGTGGGTTGCCTATTTGTTTCCTTGTAAAAACTGTGGAGAGAACTAGATTCATAATGACACATCATCTGAGGTAAATGGTGACTTTTAAGAATTTCTTAGATCTATCATTTTTTACTTTTTCTTTTGAAAAATTTCAAATCTATAGACAAATTGAAAAAATAGTGCAATAAACACATGTATACCCTTTACCTTGATTCATCAACTGTTAACATTTTGCCACATTGTTTTCCTCGATTCTCTGTACATACATACATAGGTACATACGTACATATGATACGTACATGTTTCTTTTGCTGAGCCATATGAAAGTGGGCCGTAGATATTATAACACTGCACCCCTAAATATTTCAACATGTCTCCTAAAAAAAACACGTTCTTCTTCATGATCACAATACCATTATCACAGCTAAGAAAATTAACATTAATTATCACCCAGTAAATCCATGCAAAGTTTATGTATTGCATTTAGTTTTACATCTCTTTAGTTTCTTTTAATCCAGAACAGTCTCCAAATTTTTTGCTTCTCATTATATTGAATTTTTTGAAGAGTAGCTCGGTGTTCTTCATAGAATGTCCCATATTTTGATTTTATTTCCTCAATATTAAATTCAGGTCAAACATTTTGGCAAGAATACCATAAAGGTGCTCTGACACATAATGTTAGGTTGTTCCAGTATTGGTGATAAGTTGGATCATTTGGTTAAAGTGGTGACAGCTAGATATCTCCATTATAAAGGAGTTTCCCCCTTTTGTAATCAGTATTCTGTGGGGTGATACTTTGACATCAGTGAATATCCTATTCAACAACCACCTAGCACCCATTGGTTTTAGCACCCATTGATAATCCTTGTCTGAATCAGTGACTTCACTGGGGGTGAAGCTCTTAAGTAAGATTTTTTATTTATGTAGTGGTCCAAATTATTTTTTAAGAATATGTTTCTGAAAATATCATGGAAATCAATGGAAAAAAGGATTACACATA